ACTAGCGCCCCCTTCATTTCCGGAATGCAATAGTCCCATTTCCATATAAGGTATGGGACCGACGGAAAGGTCTGTCACCGCCCCCGAGCTGCATGCTGCAGCGAAGTGTACTTGAGCTTTGCTGCAGTTTGTGGTTAAATAGCAGTGTTTGTTAAGGAGATTATAATAATAACCACCGATACTTCAGTCTGCTGTCATGTCTGAAGCTTCGACTCTGATAATGAACAAAGGTAAGAACATTTTTACTCTTCATGATGTTCTTTTCTTCTGTTATTTAAAGTCAAATATTTTTAGCAGCAATCCTGGGATTATGACGTTTAAAGTTTGTTTTCTAAATACAGGCTAAATTGTAAATGATGATATTAATATAAATTATAACTACATTTTTGAAAAAGGTTTATTTTTTTTAAAACTATTACATTGATACAGTTTTAAAAGGACTTCCAGTCAGTATCTAGTACAGAAATACAGTGTTTTAAATATTGGGGCAATCCTGAGTTTTCGTTGTAGGCAGCAGTCTACAGACCTCGGTCAGATAAGAAAGAAATATAAAATAAATTACATGAACCCATATGATGTTGGTAATTCAGCCATGTTGAGTTTAAAGCTTACAATGACTGTTGCTCTGTTTTTCAGATTTAGCGGTCCTTCAGGGCGCGTTCCTCCGAGCAGATAAATTGTCTCTCCCCTCGGTTCTGTCCACGATCCAAAAAGCTGACTGGAGCCGTGTGAAGGAGCCGGTCCTGCAGGCCCTCAGAGAAACCTGTGGCTTTGATGAAGCTGGGGATCAGCCCAGCCCTTCAGCTCTAGCCTGGAAGAAGAGGATCGTTTGCGTTGTGTGGTTAAAGCTGTTGAGCAGAGAGGCTGAGGAGGATGTTGAGAAGGCGTGGATGGAGAATCCGTTCTTCTCCCTCCAGAACAGCCTGCCTGAGTTAAACCACGTCGTCCTGCTGGAGCTGGTGAAGTCAACTTCCGCTGCAAAAGTTTTTGTCAGTTTTCTCCTTTGCCTTCCTCACTCTCAAATCTGCACAGAGCTGGAACGACTGGCAGAGCACCTGAGAACTGATCCCACAGGGGAGGACGATGTCCTCTTTCTTCTGGATGTGTGGTGGGAACTGTGGAAAGGCAGAGGAGACGACTCGAGGAAGGAAGGAAGCATAGAGATGATGTTCGCCAACCAGTTTGCCCGTCTCTCTGCGGGTTCTCCTCAGCTGTCCCCTCAGGCTGCTAAAAGGTTAAAGATGGACACGTCTGATTCGCCAGCATCTTCGACTAATACTGAGGTTCTGCACGTTCTCCTTCATGCCCTTAAAGGACTGTCAGATCACGTATCCTCCACAGACCTGTGCTTGCTCTGCATGTCTGTTTGCCTGGATGCTCTTCTCACGTCCTTCCTAACGGAGCAGGAAGTTGTTCTTCCAGTAGAGGACAAGTTGCACATCATATGTAAAGCTGTCACCACCAAAAGTAATAATGAGACACTGAACCCTGAACTTATTCAAGAGACCCTTAGAGACCTCCGTGCTTCTTGCTCACCTTCTCTTTTCAAACCCAGCAGGACAGAGCTTAGCGAAGCCCTGAAGATCGTTACTGAACTCTCACAGTTTTGGCAAGAAAAAGGTCTCTTCAGAGTCCACAGTGGCTCCGATCCTTCTTACCCCACATTCCGGTTGCAGCTTAGTGTCCAGAGCGTTCTGACAGCTCTGGACAAAGTTCCTGAGGCGCTCAGTGAGAAGAACACACTCAAAAGCTTCCTTAAGTCTCTGGATTTCCCTGCTAAAGAGATCTCTGCTGAAGTGCAGCTGCAGGTCACTGCTGCTATCATCAGTCACTGCCTGGAGGGCTACGAGAGCTTCGCTCAGCTGTTTGTCAGCCAGGCCTCCTGGGCTTACTCTAACCAGTGCTGGATGGACTGCCTGGAGAAGAACCAAGCAGCCTTCAGGCAGCCCACCACCCTCCTCCGCCTCTCCTCCGCCCTCGTGACTCAGCTGAAGACCGAGAGCCTAAACCTCAGCCAGAGCAGGAGAGGGATGAAAGTCACAGCAGACATTTTCTCTGCTCTGTCTCTAGAGGACAAGAACAAAGTGTTGGCTGCCACGCTGAGACTGTCCAGCAGGGGCTTCTTCAGCTGCTCCGTCCCCCCTGCTGTGACCGACAGCTTCCAGCAGGAGCTCAACATGGTCTTCAACTGCATCATTCAGGGAGGGGAAAGAGCCTCTGTAGCAACGCCACAGGGTAGCCTGAGCACTGCAGTCAGTTTGGTGTCAAGAGTGGCCTTCCAGAACCCAGAGGCAGCGTTAAAGTCCTGCTGCCACTCAGCTGTGTTCAATAAGGGAGCGTTCTGTCTTATGGCCAAGATCCTGCAGCAGCTGCCTGGACTCCGAGGACAGAGGAGAGGGAAGGAGGAAGAAGGACGTGAAGATGATGATGTGGGTGGTGGTAGTCTGTTCTGCAGGTGTTTGCAGGAGACAACCAGGACCAAATCCCTGTCTGTCAATGACAAAGAGCAGCTCCTCAGGTTTCTGGGTCTGCTGATGACGTCTGACGTAACATCTGAAAGAGGCGAGAGACAAAACTTTCTGTCTCCTCAGGAAGTTGTGAAAACCTTCATTCTGCCCAATCTCTCAGTCAAAGGTAAGGATCCTCCAGCATGTTGATGTTTGATACGACCAGCATGTGATCAATCAGAATGAACACTAAAGTATCAACAAGACATTTGGATGTGACTGGATTTTGCCTAGCTGTGTTTAATTTTATAACTAAACACAAACGTAGCATAATAATCAGCGGTAATTAAGACGTAGCTTTCCTGGAAACAATGTGCATCACCCTCCATCTCTCATTCCAGAGTTTGAGACGGAGGTCATCCTGTGGTCAGAAGTGACAGGTGTAGCCATTTTGGTCAAACCTTAAAAATAACTTTAGTGATTTTTATTTATTCATTTTTTTTGTGATGTCATTTGATCTGTTAAAAATTGCAGTTTGAGCCGTAAACAACTCTCAGCTCTACAACCTCAGGAAATTCTTGCTTAATATCTGGAAAGTTCAGTAAGTTATAGACATTTTTGTGAATTGAACTGGTTTGACTCCTAAATTGGGGATGTTGACATTTCATCAGCAGCTGCTGCCATTTTCTTCCCAAACTGCTGTGACCAGATTTTGCGAGGCTGCTCTGTGCGTTTGCTTATTTCCTCCTGTTTCATTATTTCTACGAGTTTCAACAAAGCGTGCTGATGTCAGGTAGTTAGCTACAGCCTCGTCTTCAAGCTTTTAATTTTTGTTGATGCTTTTTTGAAGAGACAATCTTTTGAAAATAGGATCAAATCATGAGTTTTTCTAGTGAACCTTAAAAAGATAAGCTGCCATGAAGAACATTATTTTATCTGCCCTTGTTCTAAATTTGATAATGATTTGAAACGTCAAAGTATGTTTTTTAAATCTGGAACAGCGATTGTTGCAAAGTGTTTTGACGCTCGTCTTCGTCACCTGACACATTTAACACGCTATCATTGGTTGAGGAGCTTCGTTTACAAAACACATGTCCACATGTTTTTTAAATTGTTTTAATTTCCTTACTTTCTAAGATGCATTAATTTGATTTGATGCTACAGTTTGCCTTGTAATGTTATTTTATACCTTTTGTGCTACTTTAGCATTGGCTATTATTAAGTTTTATTAATAAAGAACTCATTGTTTCTGCTGTGAACTGCAGCAAGAAAACATGAGCTGATTTCACCTGAACAAACATCAATAATTCTCCTCATACTTGAGATCATCACATGATTTTGGTGTTTTTTTGTACAGTTTATGTTCTTTTGGAGTCCGCTGTCAGATTTAAGATTGGTGTAGGATAAAGAATTTATCCACATCCCAACCTAAAGCATATCTGTTCTAGAGATACAGCCTTTACTAACTTGGTTTCATCACTAACTTTCATCAACTTTATTAAAAACACAAATAGGTCCATTGAAAATATAATTTAAGAAAAAGAGAAAAGGAAACAATCACATAAAAAGATAATAATCACATAAAACAAGTCACTGAATTACAGAGAGATTGACATTTATCCGGTGGTTCATGTGGTGTTTTGCTAACAGACATTTAGGGTTGAGGCTACTACCAAACCAACTATAGCTCAGTGTCTGAAAACCTGATTATTGTAAAACTATTTTTATTTGCTCAAATGTTTATGTTACAGTAAGGGTTATCTGTTCTTGTTAAGGTCCTGTTGCATCATAACGTTTTAGACAACTTACGAAACTTTTGTCCAACATTGAAGATATCTGCACTAAAAACGAATTAAAAAGTATGTTAAGACAAATGTATTTTTATCCCTTGAGGCATATATTCCTTCACCTTGCTCTTGTTGTCTTGCTAAAGTCTTTTGGACAACTTATACAAACTTGTGAAAATTTGAAGATGTTAATGGAATTTAAAAACAGTCAACTTGAAGCCTCTTTTAGACATGTACACACTAATGCTAACAAATTGACCAAATATATATTTTTTTAGTAATTTAGACATAAAAGGATGTTCATAAGTTAGCATAAGTTGACTAAAACTTTGTAGTGTGACAGAAACTTTAGATCACTTTGCTGTGGCAATCATTTTTATCAGGTTGTCTCCAAAATATAATCAGCTGTAGAGGTCAATCCAATGATTTCTGAAAGTTTCAGTAAAGTTTGTGCAGCGATTCATGGGATATTAATGGTACAAACACTTACACATTGCTCCACCTTCAGCACTGAACCTTAAAATTAGATTAAAATTTTTGACAATATTTAAAAGTAGAATAATTTTCTGATTCAGCTTTAAACAAGGAATTTTCCCATCTTTTAAATAACTAACCAACTAATAGTTAGAGCTGGAGAGGAGAGAAAGTGAAGACATGCTACTGACCATCTCTGTTTAAGAGTTAGAAACTCTTTAGAGCAGTGGTTCCCAAACTTTTCATCCTTTGATCCTCAAAATACCAGCAGCAGAGACCTGATCCCCTAACTGTTGTTGGATCATAAACATTGTTTTCACGTTAAAAATAAGAGCATATTAGCCTGGCCCTTGCCTTCCTACGCAGCTCCGCTCAATTCTAGTTTCCCTTCACTGCTCTGTCTGGGACTTCTCCCATAGAGATGGATTTCACTGGCAGATTTTTAGCCGGGACAATCAGAGAACAGAACATCAGTTTTCTGCGCAGTGTCTGCTAGTTATTTTAGCATAGAGCAGTGGAGGAAGTGAATGAAGCCAGTCTGTGTTGATAAGGCTTCAAATTAAATTAAATTTGTCTGACAAAGCAGCAGCTCTCATTTACAGTCGTCTCGTTCAGCTCGGTACTTCTCTCCTCTCAGTAGGGTTGTTTACAGCACACGTGATTTCCGGTTAGCTTCTTAGCTTAGCCTTCTTCACAGCAACACACACACACGCTTCAGCAGAGGCCACGCCTCCTGCAAGAAATCGATTCTCAATAGCAGCGAGTCCAGATACTAGTATGAAGCAAAGCAAAGGACAGGGGTCTGTTTTTTACTAGGCTAAGAGCATAGGAACAACATTCATTATGCTGTCTTTGTCCATTTTAAGTACACTAACCTTACTCTTTTGTAACAAAAAAGGCAAAAAATGTTGTTAGTTGTTATTTTCTAATATAATTTATTCAGAAAATCTTTTCAGGACTCCGTTGTGGGTCCCTACCCCAACTTTGGGAACCACTGCTTTAGTGGGAACTTATTAAAGCTTCATTTACCTACAACTTGAATTAAAAGTGCACCAAAAAATCGATTCACATCAGAACCGTGATTCTCATTTACAAAGAATCGATTTAAAATGCCCCAAAATTCATTCCTCAGTTGTTGTCAGGAAGGACATACAACATAAAAACAAATCGCCAAATCTTCTTGCAGGTTAGCTCTCTGCTGAGCCCTGAGGAGAGGGAACGAATAATAAATATTCAGAAGGCTTCATATCAAAATAAGGAGCTCTGACGTGTCAGCATGAAGTTTCTTTTGATAACATGGACATCATATTGTGTTTGTGAGCCGTCATGGTGCAGATATTTAAAACATGCCCTCGTCTTTGACTCAGTACTGGGACCGTTCTTTGCAGGATTGGTTTAACTTGAATCATGATGCAGCAGTCTAGCTGTGTTCATCTCTGCTTCATGTTCCTCCAGGTAATGGAAGCATCGATACAGACTTCAGTCTGAAACTCCTCCACTCTTCTTTGTCTGTGGACGTCCAGGACTCTTCCACTTCTCCCCATTGGATAATGGACTGCTCTCCCTTCCCCCTCCTCTATGTTCTGGCCCAGATTTACAATCAGACTTTCAGGTATTGTGGCTGTTCTCAAAACTCCCAACCAGTTTTTATTCCTTGTTATACAGCCAGAATTATTCATTTTCATCAGAAACCTTCTGGGCTCTTGTAGATGCTGGAAGCAGCCACCAGGTGGCGGTGTCCACCTCCTTTCCATGGACACCAAAGAGCTGCTGGAGTCGGTGCTTACCATTGTAGGGCAGGTAGTGGGGGCAGAGGTGGCAGCAGCCCCCAGCAGCTGGTCCAGAGCTCTGTTCTGGCTCCACAACAAGGTGGAGCAGCTGGACTGGACCGTTGGCCTTCACCTGAAGCCCGTGTGGGGGCAGCACTTCAAACAGGAGGTCCCCTTGACCCTGCTGGATGTGTGCCACCTGCCTGAACAGGTTTGGTTCCTCCAAATGTAAAAACAGGATAGATGACTGGAAGTCAACATTCAGCTGCTGTAAGAAGTTTACATTTACTCATTATAGACATGTTATATTTAAACTGTTCTTCATCCAGAGTAAAAGGATCATATAACAATTTCAATTAGTTTTAAAAACCAAAGTTGTCTGCATAAGTTTGAATTTAATCTACAAAGGGTCAGATTTTTGTCAGGCTCAAAAATATACCAACACTCCACTCATACTTGCTGTTGTGAAGAGTTTATAAAAGGGTTACTTGTAATTTATAGACACCACAGGCCTATGGTTAAATTAAATTAAATTCAGTTTGTTTATTCAGCTCCAAGTCACAACTAATGCCTCAGGACACTGGATAAAAACAAAACAATCTAAGTGTGCAATCATAAGTTGAATAATTGTTTGCATCCCAATAAAGATGCCAGCAGAATGTGTTGAATCACATTCCAGCAAAGTCAAAAGTGTTATTTCATCTCAGAGTTTAACTTTAACACTTTTCTGAGTTTATATAGAGTCACCCTTCACACACCAGGAAGTACCTGTCACTCATGGTTTCCATTTACGACCAATAACAGACATAAACAACTAACTAACCTAAACAAGACAACTAACCAGAACAACTCACTTTTACACTCATGAACATCTTTCCCAGTCATACACATGCCAAATAGAGATCGACCGATACAGGTTTTTGAAGGCCGATACCGATTTTTTGACATCAATCTAACCGATACGACAATACGTGGAGCCGATTTTTTTTTGGCCGATTCTTGAAGCCGATAATGCCTTCTCTTTCTCCATTAACATGATAAAAATAAGAATGAAAACAAATGTTACACAGGTCTCAATTTAAAACAAAACAAACAAAAACATTTATTAAGTGAGGCTTGTCTGGTGCAGGCTGAATGAAGTACTGCCACAGAGGATTTCTTCTTTCAGCCCTGTCTTAAAAAATAAATAAATTAATGTTTTATTTTATCTAGTGCTAAATATTCTGTTTTTATTTGTATATTAATCAGATAAATATATTTTTTACGTAAAATAAAATGATTGTGTTTTAATATCCCAGCATTTTTGATGCAAAAACAGCAACATGCCTGAAGAGGAACACAGAGAAAAAGGAGACACACACATACATCTTGCTATCTTTGTGAGGACTTAACACACACAACCACACGCAGCGCTCACAGTCTGCCTCAGTCTGCGCCAATTTTTAACACTGGGCAAAAATGCATTTAAACCAGCTGAAGTTAAGTTTAGATCACAGTTTGAAATGTACACCGAAGAAAACCTGCATCACGACTTTTATACTGCGGTCAGAGCTAAGGTGATCTGCAGCGTCTGTCTGCTGCACGATGGCAGCTCTAACGTAACAGCGAGAAATGACCAAGAGCTTTTTATTTTAATCCAGCAGGGAGAACAATACAGGTGTTCTTCTCTGCCTCCTGTGAGCAGTTCCAGCATTTTTAAAAAGAAAAACAACGCGGACACGCTAATTACAGTGCAGTTTCAAAGCGAAAGTAAAAACATGGCGCTCGCTGCGCTCCCGTTCGAAGTGAAACTTAACACACAGCTGTTCTCTCTACCACTCATAGTCCGACACAGCGGACAGAAACAGCTAAATTAGACAGCTATAACACATTAAAAGTTCATAATTCACCCCTATTGCTGTTAGCACTCTGTCTCACAACATTAGCAGCGCTGGTCTCTCCCAGGGATGGGGCGGCAACATGCGCTCGCGTGACTCAAAGAATGGATCGGCCGAACGGACGGACGTATCGGCCGATAACGATACAAGGAACAAACGCAAATATCAGCCGGCCGATGTATCGGTCGACCCCTAATGCAAACACACCATTTCAACAAGGTTACCCAGCATCCAGCTTGTTTAACTCTCCAGAGTTAAGGTATGTATGAACTGAACTTATATATACAGTAATTGTCCCAGTTTGTGTAATTCTAACCCTCTATGGGTCAGAAAAAAATCCACAGTAAATTTAAACTTCACACCCATTTGTGTTTTTGATTATTGAAGTTGTGTGTTGTAAACCCACTCAGTACCTGGATGAAGCCCAGTTTAAATCAATCATTGAAAACCCAAAGTTAGATTTTTACACACACAGTGAGTATATGTAAAATTCTGACTGCAGCTGTATGAGTGTATTTTATTATTAGTTCTATTAGTAGCAGTGGTAAATGGGAATCTGTGAAAACAGGACTTTTGTCTCTAGAAATGTAATTTTCACCTTCTTTAACTTTAGCTCACAGAGTTTACATTTCTTTAGTTTCAGAAGTTTCCAAAACTGTTTTAATTATAAAAATTCTGTTTGCAGTTTTGTTTCTTGGTTCCAGACAGAACCCTTTTAGAGATTTTTATATCCCTTTATTAATACGTAAAATTTAATCCATAAAATCATGCACAAAGTTGGGGGGTAGTACTATACTCGGATAAATATTTTTGCTGATGTATTTTAACTGAAATATCGGCCTCATTCACAAAATCCCTGAGTCCGGAAATGAAACCCCGTCGTAAAAAGCGGTTGAAACGTGCTTACCTCTGATACTCCTTCCTGCCTCCGAGCGAGATAGTAACAGACCCAAGCAGGCAACATGATGTGAAAAATTTTTTTAAAGGCAGTCGTGCATTACGAACTAATAATATTAATGTACGACCGGGCCACTCCTGGAACAGCAACTAATACATGGTCGGCTGTAATGGCTGCCGTCTACCGGTGTTCTGTAAAAGTTGGTAAACCTGAAAAAAGTGTCCCCACCAGAGGGGGCGCTCACGAGACACAGAGGATGAGATTGTTGAGTGGGATTCTGATGCCTTTACTACAGAGGAGGAATACCAGAAACTTTTAATGATACAGATGATGGTGAACCTGATTTTGAAGGCTTTGATTCAGCTTCATCCACACTTGTTAGAGCCACACAGCGCTATCTGTTTGTTATATCACACCAGTTAACAAATGAACATTTGATAGTTTTTGTTGTAGTTATTCATTTGTTGTTGTGTGCCTTTTAGTACATACAGTATGTTGTTAAAAATAAAATTTAAAACTGACAAAACAGTCAAATGATAATTTCACTGATATATACTGTGTGTATATATATATATATATATATCCATCCATCCATCCATTTTC